ATTTTCGGTTAAGGCTTCGACCATTCTTTCTAACCGGCTAATTCTAGCGTCAGAAGATTCAGATTTGTCTATATTCCTTGTCCTTTCCATTGGTTACACACAAACAAGTTACTTATTAATATAAGGAAAGTTCTCACTGTTCTCACATTTCATTTCATATCAGACGCGTTTATACTTTCATTTCAATTCAGATACAGTCACACGATCCTTACTTTCATACGTTCACGTTCACAAGATTCCACATTCGATATTGAAATTAAATTACATGTTATTCCACTTAACTTCTTCGATCATGCACAAAGTTTCATTTCAATTCATTTTCAATAAGGATGTGTTCATAATAGTTCACACACTTAAACATGGTAATGGTATGTCCCTATTTCATTTCTAGGACATCCTATAGCTCATATGGACACGTGTGTGGGGTATAACTCGTGCTCTGATACCGCTCTGTCACGACCCAAACCCGCCCCTATAGATTTAGCATCGTAACCGGCCAGTAATCCTTGGATTACCAAAGGCCTTTAAACAGATAAGCATATAATAAGGGGCTAGCGGAAGCAAATACATAAATATAGTTGTCCAATGAGCTGTGCTGGCTTATATAAAACAGAATATTTAAAAAATTTATATACAATAACCAGTAGTCAACCATACATTATACCCACACACATTACAGTATTTTAAGTACAGCCAACGACATCAAATCAAGTCTTAAATAAATAGAAACCACAAAACTTAAACACATGACACTTCGGGAACCTCCACGTGAGGCACAACGGCTGGCTGACAACAGAATACAGATCCAGACAAAAAGTCTCCAGACTTGAACTCCAGAATGCTCACCTATACATATATATATACAAACAGTGAGCTAAAGCCCAGTGAATAACATTAAGGTAAAGAGATTAGTGAACGAAATCCGAACATATCATAAACGAAAAACCAATCATAGCATAGTCATTCTCATATCAGAACATAATAATGGTACATCCCATAGAACACATCACAAAACGTCTTCCGACTAGAGTAACCGGTTCCGGCAACCGATTAAACACATATCACCACAATGAAGTGGCTAACGAGATCTCGTAAACTTAAATGTCATGGACCCGCATTTTCATGCCGCTCCCTATGACTTGGGACTATCTATGGATGCCATAATAGATTTCAAACTGGGGATGTTCGTTCACGTAAAACAGATATCATAACAGAAATCATACCTTATCACATGTCATTTGGAACATAATTTCATATAAACGTATCTTTACGATAACGTTACTCACAGTGGTTCTCGCAAACGGTTAATCAATCTTTAGACGTTGACCTACAATCACAAAAGTACATAACACAACATATCTCATTATTACACGTTCACATAGCCAACACAGCTTAACTTTCATTACGTTGGTTCTTATTCATACTTAGCACATTGATTAAAACATACACTCACTTGCAGTCTCGGAACTTGGTACATTCTTTTCTTAGTGTGTTTCTAATCCATAACCTCATTATCAAAGCTTAATTAAGGCTTAGGAATGCCTAAGATGCAATGAGGATGCCAAAACACGAGTTGGAACACTTAGGCAAAATTTCTGAAAATAAGGTCCCAGCTCGAGCGTAGACTTCCTCGCTCGAGCGGACATGCAAAATGAGAGGGGTCGCTCGAGCGCACATTCCTTCGCTCGAGCGATCTGTAAATGACATGAAACTTCTGGGAGCTTGCAATTCATGCTCAAGTGGACTTTTGGTCGCTCGAGCGGAGTGCATGCACTCAGAGTGGTCGCTCGAGTTTAAACTCCCACGCTCGAGCGTGGATGCAAATTCTGGAATTTCCAGATTTGATCACTAAGCTCAAAACTCGAATTCAACCATCCAAAACACATCTTTTGGGCCCCAAAACTTGAGATAACATAGTAAACTTGTAAAACATGAAGAATTTAGGATCATTTCATAAAATCATGGCCTAAGGGTTTGTTAAAAACTCACAATTTCAACTTGAAATTCAAGAAACAAACATACATGTAAAATCTTTTCTTCAAACTTCATGAAACTAGTAAATTGAGCTCAAAGGCTCTATGCATGAGGGAAATGCTTTTCAAAACATGGATTTAAGCTTTAAAATATGATGAATTACACATGCATGTGCCAAATAACTTATGATAACAACATAGATGCCCAAAATCAAACTTAATATGTCAAAACTCCATGTATTCATGCATGCATGTATGAATGGTAACTCAAATCTTCATCCTAGGCTCAATATACACATTTAAACTCACAATCTACATGTTAATAACTTAGATTCATAAATTTAGGAGTTGAATTCATACCTATAGTCTTGAATTAGTCTAGCTCTTGTACAAAATTGATGAACTCTAGTAAAATCTTCAACTTCTTCTTTAATCTCTCATTCCCTCTCTCTAGAATTGCATTCTCTCTCTCAAGATGAAATCTCAGATTTTTCCACTCAAGGGAAATTAAGGGAAATGAGCTCAAAAGAGCTAAATGTGATGCATATATAGTTATGATGATATAATGTATTAATTGGGGCATTAGGCTAACCAAACACGACCTAATTAATCGTTCTAAATCAATTTTTAATAAAATTTGCCACAAGGTTCTAAAAATTCCAAATAACATATTGGTGTAATCAATTTCGGTTTCGAATGCCGATAAGGGTTTCAATTTACATATTAAAGCGGAAAATCCAAACAGGTATTTCTACAGGCAACAGATAGAAAGCCAAATATCATACAAAATACAGAATAAATACATAATTAATTTTAATCCTCTCATTAGCATCATTAATTACGGATTAGTGGCTAATTACGGATCGAGGTTATTACACCTTGCTGCTACTCTTGTCACTAAAGATCGTACATCCCAACAAAAACAACAAATAAGCTCTAGCAGTGCACTGTATAGCCTCCTCAAGCCTGACTGAATTCCTGCTAGCAGTGGAAACCTCGTCATGTGCTACACGTTCAGTAATCTCCAATCCAGAAACCAGCAATGTAACTTCATGAAGATCCGTCACATCTGGTATGCTGACTGATCTGCCTACAATGAGAAGGTTAAGAATAGTGCCAACATCATCCAAGGTCAGGTCATCTCACCAACTGTCATATGAAATGTGTTCGTCTCAGGTTGCCATCTCCCAACAAAATCGGAGATTAGAAGCTTGTTGACGAACCGATAAGGGCAACGAGCTAACTATAACAGCCCAGACCGCTCAATAATGGCTTTGAATCTGGTGTTGCTGACTACCATGGCCATGTAAGGATCTTTGAATCTGAGTGATTATGACACTTTAGGGGCCCTCGTTCCTATAAAACAAATGAATATCTCATTAGAAACTACCATATAACACACAAAAAATCATATACAAATGAATTTCACTTCTACTCAGGAATGTTTATCTCCTCCTACCAAACAGCTGCCGCAACATGACTATTGAAACTCCGCAGTATTGATGGATTAGTCGGTCCACCTGGAAAAGCATGAGTAAGGTCCTTTTCCTGGACAGTAGGTGAGTCGGGTAAAAGGGCATCCTCTACGGCAATGTCATGCATATCTTCACCTTCAACTCGTCTTTGGCTTCGACTCCAACTTTGACTGGTATTGGGGATATCATATTCTACCAAAATTGAATCACGACCCCGACCTCATCCTCACCCACGCCTACGCCATCGTCTCCGTTCATGGTCAACGTCCAATTCATGATGTCGTTTATTTGAAGCAGTACGTGGGACACATTGTTGACATTCATAATCCATATTATTTGCAAAAATTAATATATTTAAAGAGTATATAATTGTAAAAAGAAGATACAAAAGAGGGGGGAAAAAAAAAACACAAAATCGTTCGGAAGTTGAAAACCGCAAATATCTATTATGTTCGGAAGTTGAAAACTTAAAAACCAAATTCATTTTGGAAGTTGAATGTTGTCCAAATTAAACATATTCGGAAGTTGAATGTCGAAAGAATGAAAAAATTTCAGAATTCTACTGTTGAAATAAATGATAATTTTCGGAATGCTACTTTTGAACAAGTTGTTTATTTTCGGAAAACCAGTTTCGAATGAGGAACAGATTGCTCATTTCAGTGGGTTATGCATTTGTTCGTTTAAAAAACGGTAAAAAAAAACCCTACATTACAAATGAAATAAGAATGAGGATTAAAATAAGTAAACTAACTTAAGTTTCCAAATGTGAAGAATTTCTTCAATGGTTCAATGAGATGTCTTCAATGCTTTAATGAGATGTCTTCAATGGATGGATGTAGCTTTTGGGGATGAAAGGTAGACTATGAGAGATGGATGTGTGTGAGAGACGAGACTAATAGTGGAATGAGTGTATGCAAAACCGTTTGGAGAGATGGGTTTGGGGGTCTGGGGGTCTGGGTGTGTGTGTGCATGAGGATATATGTGGAATAAAAGGTATGTGCAGTAAGCAAAATAATTTGGAATTAATTTTTTAGGTGTGTGTAGTGAAAAGGATGTGCAAAAAGTGGAAATGGTGTGTGCAAATAGAAGCTCCCGTGATGATGGCAGCATAAGACGGTAATTGACAAATGATAGGTTTAGGAAACAGGCAAATTGTAAAGATATTATATATTTTAGGAAGGAAAATGTAATTTGTATTAAATCTAAACCACAAGGAGTGTCAATATAATTTATCTTTTTTTTTAGGAGACTATATGTATGTAGGAGTTAGGGAAAAAAATTATTAATATACTAAAAGGTGTAAATAATACTTGTACCCCACAATTTTTTATTTATACTTTACTACATATACACTTACAGACTTATATGTTTGTAATTTTTTTCTTAACTCCCACCGGCATATAATTCTCTTTTTTTTAATTAAAATTTCAACAATGATTCATCTCCTTTTTCCTTCCACCCCCTTTGACCCCCCTCTCTCTCATTGGTTATATTTTTTTTTTCTTACTCCTCCAATCACCACCCGCCACGTGACAAAGGGGTCAGCGGTGACCCAAAAGTATCCCAAGCATTATTCTTAAAATTTATGGATGAGTACGAAATCAAATGGGTCGGGTCGGGAGGTTATGTATACAAAGGCTTCAGTACCAGTAACCCTCTGCGATCAATGGTGAGGCGAAGTCCGATGTACCGCCGGCGAAGCTGCTTCGTCGGTGACTTTTCGATTCCGGCGAGGTTTTCGCATCGCGAGCGACGGAGAGGCTTCGATCAATGCGAGGCTCTGATACCAGAATTTGATGAAGACGATGAATTAGAGGTACGCTAAAATCTGTTTTCCTGAAAATTTCATTATGGATTTGTTTCCTATACAGTTTTTATACATTGATTCCTAGAGATGTTCACTTTTGAAATGGATGTGATGGTTGTATATGAGATTGATAGCTAGCCACTACATTCAATTTGGTTTTTTCAATGCAAGTTAGTCTGTTTATATGTCATTGCTGTCTAGCTTATTTACCATCTAAATAAGTAGATCCTAAGAAGAAGGCTCTGTTTGCATCGTGGGTTGAGAAAAGAAAGGAAATGATTCTCAGTATTCTGTTTGGATGAGCAAGAAAGTAAAGTATGTGATGGTAGGGAGGCTTATTATGTGACTTGTACTTTTCATTTCAAATGAAAATGTGAGCATTGTGTCATTAGTTTCTGCAGTGTCATTGTAAAGGTCCTAATTAATTAAGTAGAGAATATATATATATATATATATATTGAATTTTTTAACCAAACTAAATCAAACATTAAGTTCTATCAAATGAAATTGACTATATCAAGTGGGTTGGATTTTTTGTTTTTCTAGATTTTTTGTTTTTCTAATTTTCTATTTTGAACTGTTGATGCACGAATCGAAAAAGTTGAAAAATAGTATTATAGCACAAAATATAAATATACTGCTATTTGTGTGTATATATATATATTATATACTAAAAAGTAATTGAGAAGTGAAAAGGCAAAAGTTGATTTCCTATTTCAAAGTGTTTATTTAATAAAAAGGTAAACAAATGGAGCAATGGTTGTTTTCCAATAGCACCCAACCCAACAACTTACATACTTTTTTGGTTAATAGACCAAGTGAGGCCAGGAAGCTATTTAGTTTGGTTTCCAAACAGTCAATATATTGACTATAGCAGATAAAGTATTAAGAATTCTTTTATTTTTAGTGTTTATGTCTCTCTTTGATCAACAAAAACATCACGCAGCAGCAGCGAAGTGATCCAAACACATGCAATAGAAAAATGAGTCACTCTCATTTGGCGATGGATAACTCTTGTTTTAGATTTGGTGACGGGTACTCTGAAATCAACTCCAGATCAACCCCATGAACACTGTTTTGGAGATGGGTTTTGGAAAAATAATCATGGCAATTGGTCACGAAAAGCATGGAGACGACAGCCTCTATTTATTTCGATTATTTTATCGGACGATACGAGTAGAATTCTGATACAAGTTGAAATCGAACTATACGATTTTGTATCGAGCGATCCAAGTGCACGTTCGATACAGTATGTGATACGTATTTTTTTCTTACCAATATGAGCCATATCGTACAATATCAACCACATTGGTTACTACAATAATGCGATTTTTTCTATTTTGAGATTGAGTATCGCTATTTACCTCTACTTTTTTAGTTTGGACTCCCTATTTCTTTGACCCTCACCTTCTAAAACTGCTCCTCACCTATATTTCTTTGGACCGCTACCATATTCCCAACTTTACCCTCTTTCTTTGCATCCCCGTCCTTCTCACCTCCCTTCTTCGGTAGCCCCCTTCTGTCGCCGTTGTCACCCCCTCTGACGACCCATTTCACCCTTGCCCACCACTCTAGTCCCTCTCCACCACCTCCTTCGTACCTCCTCGCCACCTAAATCGCATCTCTGGTGGTTCTCTTGAACCATTCATTCGTGAGGACCACCTCCCTTTGCAACATGCCCAAATTTGGTTTGGCAATGTATGACCGAACCACTTCCATTTGTTCAGTGGTATACAAGGTTCTGAAAAGCGGTTGCGATCGTCGTAACGGTAGCGGTGACGCGGTTGCGGTTGTGAGGTGTAAAGGCAGTAGTGAAACGGTTGCGGTAACCGAAACCGTGAATTTTTTTATTTTTCGCACAACTTGAAAAAAACTTACCGATACGCATATTTTTTTCCTATGATCATATTTATTGGATTAAAAATAAATATTGATCAATTTTTATAAATTTTTAAGTATGATCCAATATATTTCATATTTTTAAATCACTATAAACTGAGTTTTTTACATTTTATTTTAATAATTAACGACTTTATATTATACAAAAATTCAATCACTAACTATTATATATAAGATAAACAATGACAAAAGTATGAGAACAAATAAGAGCCTAAATATATATATATATATATATATACATATTTTAACCAAGTCAAATAGATAATGACCACACTTATTATTATTATTTTTAAACAAAATATAGATAGACAAATACAAACAAAATGGTTTAGTGATAGCAGCTGAATAGAATAGCATAGGTCATACAGCTTTAACAAATCAATAACATGTTCTTCATCTTCCCTCTTCTCTCTCTCTATCTCTTGCTCCTCCATTTTCTCTCTTTATCTTTCCTCTTCTCTCTATCCCTCTTCCCCCATTTTCAGCTTTTTTTTGTGTGTGTTTTTTCGAAAGAAACAGTTTGGAATCGTTATGTAACGGTGCGTAATAGGCCGTTACGGCTGTTACGGCACCGTTACGACCGCTACGGCAGCCGTTACAGCCGACATACTTGTGAATCTCAATCACACTGCAAAAGTGGCCGTAACGGGTGGCGGTAACCGCCAAAACCGTTACGTAACAGTTGCGGCCGCTTTTTAAAACCTTGGTGGTATATGTTCGAACACTGCCATTTGTTCGATGACCTACATGGCTCAGATCTAGTTTGGTAGTCTATGATTGAACCACCACCATTTGTTTGGTAATATATGTCCAAACTAACACTGTTTGTTCAACATTGGTTTTCCAAACCAAGTGCAACAATTTCGATCTCTCTCTCTCTCTATTTGTATCCCTTACGTTGTCAATCTCTCTTTGTTCCAGTCTAAGGTCATAGGGAATGAGTGATGTGATTGCGATGGTTGGGGTTGCGATAGTTGACATAACGATGGGGAGAATCGTTAGTAGGAGAGAATGAGGTGAGGTTGTATTGGTGATGGGGTCGCTAGAAAGTTTAAGGGTAATATTGTGGGAAGAGAGGTTGTCGGAAGGAGAGAACAAGGGATGTTGCCAGAGGGTGTCACTAAAATTTCTTGGTTGGAATGGAGGTGGAGATGGGGGTGGCAGTGGGATTAGGGTTTGAGTTTGGGAAGATAATGATGGGGATAAAATTGGAAATTAATGTTAGGACAAAGTTGTAATAAAAAAATTTGAAAGAGTGGGGGCGCCAAAGTAAAAAGTTTGGGGCATTTAGCAACACTCTTTGAGATTGAATTCGTCACTAATGTAGGATAAAAACTTAAAAGACTAAAATCTAACTGTTCATCTTGAGGCATGGAAATATAACATCTTCAATTTTCTTGGCTATTGATGCTATTCATTACTTCGGACCAAAATATGTGAGTTATAGTAAAATCTCTTTAGGTGCAATGATAGACGTTGGTAAAATAATAAAAGGAGACAAGCTCAATTGGAGGATACTAAAATTTTGTGGGTTTCATGAGGTAAAACTTGAAGAGCTGAGGTCACGAATGAAGCTCTAGTTAGAATTGGATCCTTGTTAGATATTCATGGAGACATTGCCAAGTCCAATTAGTCAAACTGTTTCTCCTATACCATCACATCCACTAAGATTTACTAGTAAGTTATGGTCACATTTTCTTCAATACCTTTGTAATTTCAGAACAAACCTATACAATCCACATAGTACTACTTGTGTTGCTTGATTAAAAACACAAAATGGTGGATGGGTTTCAAATTTTTAGAATAATTAAAACGACTTTACATCTAGGAAGCACGAACACGAACACTTGACAAGATGATGTCAAAAAAATGAGGACACGTACACGATGGGACATGACAATGAAATATTATTTTTCTCTTATTTTATTTGCTATGTAAATTAATATTATATCCACAAACAATCATAATTGACAAAGACTAATAGTAATTCGATATTTAAAAAAGAAAATTCAAATTAACACTTATCGTTGATATCTTTGTTATGGATGATTTATTAAGCATTTAAATCTAAGCAAAAGTAATAATCATCCAACATTCATCAAAAACACTAAAGAAAAGAGGAAAAAAAAATCTAGTTGGCGTGTCCCTGAAGTATCCCTAGTGTGTCCACGACATGCCCTCATTGTCTTCCCTGAAAAAAAGAATTTAAACGACGGGACATGCCAAATGGCGTGTCGCATACGTGTCTCCGTTCGTGTCTGACACTCCTATGGCACTTGTTTTGAAGTGTCAGTGCTCTATAGCTTTACATTTTACAAGGAAAATAGAAAAAAGAAAAAGGGAATAAAATTTCTTTAATGAGGAGATCTTTATATTATTAATCAATATCATCTTATTCTGAATCGTGATATCACCACTCATAATTATTGAGATCTTTATGTAACGTTTTCATTCTCCTGTTGATCTGAAGGAAATAATAAATTGAGCTATCCTCATTTGACATCTGACACAAATTAAATATCAACCATGAAAGCTCGCTTGCATTCTCACTTATTTTATTGAACTTACACCAAACATATTTAACATGGAAAAAGCTAAGCAAACAATTTTTTTTTTTTACAAAAATAACATACAAAATGATTTGCTTGTGATCTTTTGAATTACAATGATGAGCTTCTTAGTTTCAAAGGAATGGATTGGAATGAGGGGTTGACATCCAATTTTAAATGATTCATTACCTTTTAAATGGATCATTTTGCCATTAATTTTTATTCAATTTATTAACAGATGTTATCAATTGGACTAAACTGATACACTACGTGAAAAATTAAAAGACAAAATTAATATAATTTAAATTTCAGTGACTAAATTGACACGAGACACATTAGAAGGTCAGTGGGTATAATTTGGCCTTATTTGATTTGTAATATAATTTTGTTTTGGCTTAATATTTCATCTTTTATAAAGGTTCTTGAATTTGCTGATGATCATAAGTTGCCGTTATACCCAAATTTGATTTGTTTGGAGCTGGCTGTTTACAATTGTTATACCTAGAGATGGCTACCAAACTTGCCTGATAGTGTTCGTAAACTGCAAACTCTAGCATTGATGAAGTTAACTTCACATGTAAATTTTTTAAAATTTGTAGCATGTTTTTTGTATCTAAAAAGCTCAGATATGAACACTTGACATAACAAGGACATGTGAAAAATTTCAAAATATGTAGTATACGACACATAGGGAAGACCTAGATTAGAAGTGTCTGTGTTTCTTTGATTTACAGTTTCTGAATTTCTCTTTTTTCTAAGATCCTCCATATGATGAAGATGATGCAAATCGTGATTTGGACTGGATTGAAATACCAAAAACATCTAGTTGTTTGTCTTGCCTTGAAGAAATTAAAGTTTATGGATTTAAAGGGGACGATGATTAGTTGGAAGTATTTTCTGAAAAATGCTGAAGTACTGAATAAGGTAAGAATTAATTCTTTCTAAATGAATTTATTTTTCCATTGAATGTTTTATTGCCTTGTATTAGGAGAGTGCTAATTAGCTATCTTCGCATGATTGATTGCATTTTTATATTGAACTTGGATAAGTCGTCATGTTGGTGTCATGTTAGCTTTCCTAATATTGTACTTGTCATCCTCTATAAGTTGGTTTTCGGTGCTTGTTTTTATAGGTTGACAAATTTATTAGGGTTGGTACTAGTTGGTTTTGTTTTTTGTTTTCTTTCCATGGATTCCTAGTAGCTCTTAATTAATAGCATCACTACTACGGCTTGCATGTCATATCAGTAGTAGCCACTAGACAAAAAACTAGTTCAAAAATGCAAGAAAATTGATTTTTGAATGCAGAGCTACAAGAAAACATAAGTTAAACATCTAATGTAAACAATAATATGTCAACCCAAGGAGTAGTTTTCTACAAGAGGAAATAGCAACTATCAATCTATCTGTTGAGATCAATGATTTACAGTCTAAAATTGGCAAGTTGAGGGTTCAGTGGTAGTGATATAGGAGGATTCTTGTTTATGATTTGATGATGGTGTTGTGCGTAAAAGTTCATTGTTGATGATGAATATATAATGATGATAGTTGCGGTGTTGGAGATGCTGGAATCTTGGTGAAAGCGTGAGGGACAATTAAGTGCAAATGACTCCTAGAGCATGGGAACAAGTGCAAGCTTGCGTTTGATTGAAGTAAAACACACATTTTTAGAAGTTAATGCCCAATAACAAAGGATTCATAGTATACAATAAAAAAATAAAAAATAAATATTCTTATATTTAGCCTTTTAAACTAAAGTGATTAGAGTCTTGTGCACTTATACAAAGGTTGTAGGTGTAAATTTTACATAGGTTTGTTCATATTTTTAGAAAACAACTATTAATGGATAATATGATAATCAAGAGACCAATAAATCATATGACATTTAATTTCTAAAAAATAAATCATATGGCATTTAATCATAACTTTTACATAATTTCTCTTGTACTATACAAAATATTCACAACCATGATATTTCATAGTCACATCAAAATGAATTGCACTAGAATGGCAAGTTGTAGCTTCTACGCGTAAAGTAAGCAATGGAATGCAATCTTGAAGTGTATAATCATCAATGTCCCATTCAATACTACTATGATCTAAAAGTTAAAATTAATGAATTATATTTTATTAAAAAAAAAACAGTTTAAGCATATTAAAAAGTGCATAGAAACTGTACTTGAAATGGGCTTTTCTAAATGCGTGTTGAGGATGGAGGCAATATTGGCAAGCTGCCAACTATAAGAGTGGCACCATTAATAATACTAATGCTCTTGTTTTCTAATTTTTGTTCTTCTTTTCTTTGAATCTAGTGCATGGGATTTGCAAATAGCAGTTCATTTTTTTTTTTTAAAAAAATTTGTAACTCTTTGCTTTTTGGTAACAATTTCAAATCTTGGAATTAGGGAAGATTTCCAAATCTAATATAAGAATTGATCGAAATGCAAAATTTGGCTTTAAGGGGTCTAATCCAAATCTTATCCCTAATTCAATACCAAATCTTTGAACCAGGTAATGCCCTAAAGTGTAAGCTTCTAGTATGAGTTCGAATTTTGGTGAAAGCTATGTAACTAAAGCCATTGCCTTCAATTGGCATGTAGAATAATAACTATGTCCTAGCTATTTCCAGCTTTTATTCAATTAAAAAACAAGTGATTTGTATATTGTAGCTGCATATGCATATTTGTGGCAGTGAAGGTTGGGCCAATGGTGGATTAGCAATGTCAGGAGCAACTACGGCAGAAGTAGTGCTGCAAATGTTTTCACTAACACTTGTTGTCATTAATGATGGAGGAAATGCTTGTTTTATGGTTAGCAGCACCAATGTTGTTAGAATCGTACGATTCACGATCGACACAAGTCTCAACCAAAAGGATTCGAATTATGTTGTTGAATAAAAAATTGAGTGAATTGTATGATTCATTTTTTTTTTCTTGCTTTTTTTTCTTTCTTTTCATAATGCATAAAACAAATTCGTTTTTGGCACTATCAAAAAATTAAAAAGAGATCAATTAGTTATATCAATATTTGTGGTTTTATATGTATATACGTATAAGCAATATAATTATATGGATAACCATTTAATTTTAGACACTGCATGTGTATTTTTTATATGTCAATACATATATAAAATTCTATATTATATTAAATTAAACGAATCTCATGACTCATAATTCACTATTTTAACAAAACAATTCACGATTTGACAATAATGTGTAGCATCAAATACCATTGCTTATTAATCATTTCGTTAGATAAGCATTTTCCTCAAAAGCACAAGTTGTTATGAAATAAGTAAAATAATATATGTCCAACTCTCATGCCCTCCCATTTGGGCAATTCTTTATTACACAAGGAGAGGGGCAGAAAATGAATGTGTACACCAATAACATAAGGTGCACAAGAAAAACATACGGTGAATTGGTAACAAATACATGTGAAGAAACTTAAACCCAAGGCCGACAAAAACCAAAACTCTGATACCATATTAGACAACCATTTATTCTTATAGCTTCAAAAAACATGCCATACTCGTATTGGGTACTTACCGTATTTCATATGGTACTTCTACATACGTACCTAATACCTATACAAAACATATATCTAAATTTTTTCTTCTTAATTTTTGACGTATCCAGACGTACCTAGTATATACTCAAGTTGTATCGTATCTCAGTTGCAACAATAATTTCTTCTACTACAAAGATAAAATTTCTTTAATTAGACTTCTTTTTTATTTTTAGTTTTATGCTTAACATGATTTTAAATTAAGCTGTGGTTTGTAAGTTACTTAATATATTGACATTTAATTTTGATTTTTACCTTTATATTTGCATTAAATGTTAATTGTAGGTTGGATGTTAACAAATTAAACCATTTAATCAATTTTTACATTACTCTAAATTAAAAATAAATATTTTTTTCAAACATACCAAGCCGTATCCGTACCCTACTTTTTTTTGGATTTTACCATATCAACGTATCTGTACAAGTGCTCATACCCGTACCCGTGCTTCATAGGTTGTCACATATGATATTCCTTTATGAATGTTTACTTTGTATTACATATAGTTGTTTTCAATTGGTATTTAAGTTCCATTTTATTTTAACGGAAAAAGAAAAAAAAAAATTGGCAGATTTTTTTCTTTAATTTTAATTTTTAGTGTTTGGTTGCACTTAAAGTTGGATAAAACTTTCTAAGGAAGAATTTTTACACCATCATGTCAAAAAATGACTAAGCAATCCAATTTTGGTAGGCAGTGTTTATTTAAGTCGTGATGCCCTAAATCTTAATGAGAGAGAGAGAGAGAGAGGGTTTGCTCTGAGCTGTCCAACACCAGCTACGATACCACCTGTGCTGCCAACCATTTTCCGATGGCTGTGGTTTTCTTTAACTTCTAGACCGACACCTTCCTGTTTTAGCTTTATTTTTCATTCAATTTCATGGTTCTAAGCATTGAATTAAACAGGTTGTTTTAAGTTTCTTTGTCTTCAATCAACTATTGGTGGTTTTTGTGATTATTTTCTTTGGATCTTGTTTTATTTGGGTGAGTTCAAGCTAGTGATTTTTGGATCAGGCTCGGGTACTGTCTCTTAGTCTAGACCTAAGTACTTCATTAATTTTTTATGGATTTTTTGATGGATCGCAATCAGATCAAAGCCTAATCTCATTTTGTTTCCATGCAATTTGTGTTGGTTTAGATCGCTCTAACTATCTGCCTCAGATTTGGAAGCTGTAAGTATTCCGCCTTTGTGCATTTAATTTTTGTGCTGGTAAAATGTATCAACTAAAGATCCTTCGTCTTTTTTTTTCATCTGGGTTGATTTTTCAGATTATTGCGGCGCTGAGCAGCCAAGTTGTTGGACTTTTCAAGTTGAAAATTTGGTAAAGACGGACACACTATTTCTGAATCGGTTTTGAGCCTTTTCAACTACTTTTTGTTGTTTTGATGGAATTTTTTTTTTTTTTTTTGAAGCATATGTGATATTTTTATTGCTGAGTTTAGTTTGTTTTTGTACAGAACATTGCACAAATTTTTATTGGGTACAAATTTACAAATATCAGCCGTTACATGTAGTAGTGGCTGTTGTGTAACGGGATTTTAGTCTTCCAATACCGTTATTCACTGATATATCGGCTAATACTATCTGATATTATTTGATGTCAACCAATATATGACCGTATCATTGATACTAATGCATATCCCTATATCATTTTCTAAAACCATGACTGGGTATGAGTATTTTCAACCTCTTCAATGGTTGGGATTCCATTTTCTATGTGTTGAATCTGATCTGCTATGCAACTTCTAGGTTTTAATTGCTTTTATAATTAGCTGTCAGCCTGTCATATTGTATCCATCCAAACGTAGGATTGATGTGACTTCTAACTTGAAAAATTAGCAGCAAGATGGCCAACACTAAGTATCAAGTTTTAATGTGAAATGGGGAAATGATCCTCGTTAATTGTAGTGGGAGATGGTAAAAAATTGCATTATTTGTTTCTTGTGTTTGATCCCTCCCCTCCTTTGGTGACTGTTTGTGATACAGGGTTGGATATCACTTTAAATTTCGACTTGCTGAGATTATTAATATCACTTTGTTTTTGTTTTTTTGATGAGCAAAATCTCCCAAATACCCCACCCAAGTGCCCTTGCCCCTACGGGGGGGGCTTCAACCCACAATTTCTCCTATGGAAGTGTTGGGGTGATGCCACTAGGCCACATGGCCATTTGCTATTAATGTCCATTGTTTTTGTAAGAGAAATTTCTGTTTTCAGAAATGCTTGCATAATCAGATGGCTGTGGCTTCATTAGTTTGGATTTTGCAGTTGTTTTAATGAATCGTGGTAAATGCGGGATAGGACCCTGCACTCTTTGTTGCAAATGGTCGGTGATATTTTCTTATTGTGATTCTCATTGCTAGCTTTAACATTTAGTAGCTTTGTTGTAAAATGAACTTTTATGGCCTTCAGAACAAGTTGCTTTGCAGGAACCAGTGTGAACTTTTTTTGTGACGTTAGTTGAATGGTTAAAATATTTTTACCTGATTAACCATTATATAGCTAACGTACATTACTACACTCAGTCTTTTTGATGTTTGGTTCAATTTTTTTCTGATAAATACATGGCTATGCTTGGGTGAGTGCATAAGCCTCATTGAGCAAGGCAACTTGTAACAGTTGTCTTATTGCATACTCTCAACAATTATATGCTCAAAAAGGCATATATGCTGAAATTTCAGCATGTTTGTGAAATGAAAATTATAAAGTTCACCTTAACCATGTGGGTTTTATGAATAGATATTATTTGATTCGCCAATCTAGATTGTATGAACCAGTCATTACTAGCTTTTATAGATGCTTCTCCATATAGATAGTCTTTTTTTGTTCTGGTTTTCCCTGGTTTCTAACACCATGGTCGGGATCATGGTTTGTGCTATTGAGCAAATATGGGTGTGTCAAGGCAACTGAAACATATTCGCCTTGTTTGGTTTGTTTTTCAGAAAAATTTTTGGAAAAAATTCTCTCCAAACAAATTTTCAAGAGTAATCAAACCAAGCAAATTTTTCTAAAAAAAATCTCAAAATTTTGTTTGGTTACCTACTTTCCAAAATTACTCTCTCTCATACACATCAAATCAATTCCTTTTTTTAAAACTCACTCCCCAAAACAATTTTTCAAAACCATTTTTGAAAAAAGGCAAACCAAACAAGTTTTTGTACTTTTTATCTCAAAAACTACTCTACAAACACAAACCAAACACACCTATTATTTTTATTATCAAGGAAAGTGAAAACATATTGTGGAAAGTTAAGGTCTTTTGTGATGTTGAAATAGACTGCTGGTTCATAAATTATAATCATGATGTTATGATTCATGAACAATTGTTCTGATGGATAACTGTAATACTCTATTCTGTTTAGGAAGAGAGCCACAGAAACCATGACTTCAATGGCGAAGCATCTGCAACCTTCGAAGAAGGTAAATATTGGAGATGGAGAAGATAGAATCAGCAGCTTGCCAGACTCACTTATCATTTACGTTCTTTCTTTCATTCCAACCAAGTATGCATTCAGAACCACCGTCCTATCCAAAAGATGGAAGGACCTATGGGCATTTGTCCCAAATCTTGACTTTGATGCATCAATGCTTGATGTTCCAAAGCAGACTCCTGATGTTAAAAGTTTCATGAATTTCATAGATTGGGTACTTTTCTTTCACGGTTTGCCATGTATTAGAAGATTCCATCTGAAATGTAGTTGGGGATTTGATGTATCCCGTCTACCTACATGGATAAGTGTTCTTACTGCGCGTGGTGTTGAAGAGCTTGATGTCGAATTGATCACAAACCAGGAGGTTCTTATTTTGCCTCAAAAGCTCTTTTCTTGCAGGACACTGGTGGTCTTAAAGCTAATAAGTGAGCTGAACGTCGATTTTCCTGCCTCGTTTTACTTGCCGAATCTCAAGGTCCTTCATGTTTCACTTAGTTATCCACAAAATGGCGTATTGCAGAAGCTCTTCAGTAACTGCCCCCTGCTTGAAGATTTGCACTTCAGTGCAGAGGTAGAGGATGAGTTAGAAATGATTTTTGATGTCTCTTGGCCCGCTCTAAAGAAATTACAGCTCCATTTAACTACATCCCAAGAATTTGCATACGTTAATTGGGAAATCAAGTTTCCCAAGGACATGATTGTCATTGATGCACCAGTTCTTGAACACCTGACTGTTCATGATGATTACTTATCTTGCTACTCGCTGAAGAACCTATCCTCTTTAGTTACAGCATATATAGATGTTGGACACTGCTGTATAGATCTGCTCGCACCGGAAGATCGTGCTAATAATCTGTTCATGCTTCTGGAAGGAATCACTAGTGTCAAGTCTCTATCACTAGATTCAGCAGCCATGGGGGTATGTTTGCTCTATCTTTTCTTAATGAGGTTATTTCATTATTTGACTCTGTAATTTCTTGTAAGATATTTATACTAATATTTGATTAGGTTAATTATACATCCTTGTAGTTCGTCTCTTGTCAATTTGATCCTTACAGTTCTAATTGTATCAATTTTACCCTTAAATTTTTTATGTTGTGTCAATTTAGTCCAATAGGTAATGCCTCTATATATATTGGACTAAAATCAAGGGGTAAGATAGTCCATTCACTTTTTAAAAATTGATTGAGGTGTCAACATTCAATTTGAAATGATTCGTTTTGGCTTTGATTTCTATTCAATTTGTTAACGGGTGTTATCACTTGAACTAAACTAATACACAACATGAAAAATTAAAAGACAAAATTGGTATAATTAAATTACCGAGACCTAATTGACACAAGACACACTACAAGTACCATGGATAGAATTTTGTCTTATTTGATTTGTAATATAATTTTGTTTTGACTTATTATTTCATCTTTTATAAAGGCTCTTGAATTTGCCGATGATAACAAGTTGCTTCTATACCCAAATTTGACTTATTTGGAGCTGACCGTTCACAATTGCTATACCTGGAGACGGCTATCAGACTTGCTTGATAGTGTTCCTAAACTGGAAACTCTAATATTGACGATGGTGAGTTTAATGTTAAAATTTCTTCTCTTCTTATATGTTATATTTAAATAATTGTTATATGTTATCTTATATGTTATATTTAAGAATAAATAATTGTTATATGTCATGTATATGAATATTTAAATCAAAAATAATAATTTTTAAACTATAAAGAAAGAGAATATGTATAATTTTACATAGTTTTTGTTTTATCATTAGATTTTAAATTATTTTATTCAAACTTGTAATGTGTTAAGAGTGTAAATGGTTTAGCTTGGTCAGGATTAAAGGAGAATTTAGCACCAAATCAAACCTTTCAGTTTTGTTAGTTGAGAAATCGAAATAGACTGCATGATACGGTTTGGTTTTAGTGGTTTCGTCGGTTTTATGTGGCGGTGAGATTTAAAGGGTTTTATAAAAATGAGTAAAATCTTACATTGAAAATCAATGAGAAAAAAGTATGAAAGTACTACAAGTATATTATTTGTTACTTATATTTTAATATTTAAAAAATTAAAATATAATATTTTGGTTGATTCGGTTTGTATTGGTATAAAAAATTTTAATATTGAAACAAACAATAAGGTAAGAAAAATAAATTGAAAATTGAAATTTTGGTCAATCTTTGAATGGTCGGTTCAGTATGTCAATTTTTCTTACACTCTCACTGGTTTCTGAACTTCTTTTTTCTCCTTTTTTCCTAGGATTTTCCACACGCTGATGATGATGATGTGCCTCATAATTTCGACTGGATTGAACCATCAGAAAGGCCTATTTGTTTGTCTTGCATTAAAGAAATTACAGTTTCTGGATTTAAGGGGGACGATGATGAGTTGAAGCTATTGAAGTATTTTTTTGAAAATGCTGAAGTGTTAAATAATGTGAGAATTGATTCTTGCAATTTTACTCCAGCTGACCAGGAGAAATTTTTCAAGAATTTGGTAAATTTTCGAAGGGCTTCAAAGGTTTGTGAAATTGAATTTTTTGGTAAATCGAAAGAGATGTCGCCAATTTTTTAGCCAATATGTGTCTGCTAAACTTTTATTTGTATTTTCTTTATTGAGATATGATAGACTTATTTTAAGGTTGTATTCGCGCTCTTTGATTGAAAGGTGATAAAACTTACTGTGAAATTCGCTTATTAGTTATCAAAAAAAAATTTGGTTCTGTATATTCTTTTTAATTGCATATTTGTCCTCGAAAAAAGAAATTGAACTATTTGTCTTTTGAGTTTCATTTTAATATTTGAATTTTTTTATTAGATTTTTGGGTGAAATATTAATAAATTCAAATAGTGATCTTATAAATTATTTGGTCCTCCAATTTTTTTTATAAGCTCAAAGGTCTCATTTTAATATGAATTATATCAAAGACTAAGTATAAACACGTATGTTTTAAGTGTTAAGGGACAAATATAGATTTTCTCACGTAATACTTCAAAAAAAAACTAATTAGTGTGTTTTTTTCAAATGTAATACTCTAATGTAACACTCTAAAAATGTATTATATTAATATAACACATTAAAAACTCTTTAGTATAACACTCCAATCAATGTAACATGTAAAAATTCTTTAGTATACTTTTTTCAAACGTAACACTCCAATGTAACACATTAAAAAACTCTTTAGTGTACTTTTTTCAAACGTAAGAACGTAATATTTAAAAAAAAAAAAATTCTTTTATGTATTTTTCTCAAACGTAATATTCTAATCAATATAACACAAAAATTTCTTAGTGTACTTTTTTGTTTTAAAACATAGCATTCTGATATAACACTCCAGTATAACACTAGAAAACCACACTAGCAGAAATATACAGGAATGTAAATTTCCATACTCGATAACCAATCAAATCAAATAAATATAACTTTTCAAAAAAAAAAAGAAGAATCATAAGAAAACTTTTAAAATTAAATAAACGGCCTTCAAACTCTTGACTTTTCAAAACAAAAAGGATTTTACTGTCGAATTGATAAATTTTCCTAAATTTTTTTATGTGATTTACATTTTAGCATGTGATACATTCTTGTCACGGATGAAATATCCTATGGCAACCATTTACTCATTTTATTTATTTATTTATTTATTGTTCCTTTCTTGGTAGGTAATCTCTTGTTAGGTTACAAGAATGTACACTTTCTTTGACTCAACAAAAGCCATTCTAGAAAAAATTGATGGATAAATTGTTGGAAAATATACCTGATACGTGGCTTCAGTTCCTCATTGCAAGTAACCTTGACGGGGTTGTGGTAGGCTTTTTTTTTTTTTTTTTTTTTTTGTTTAGGGTTAGATTTTTTGGGGCGGGGTTGTGGTAGGCTTTTTTTTTTTTTTTTTTGAGTATAGTGTTAGATATTTGAGGGATCATGCATTTTATTTATTTTCTTGTGTGTTTGAATCTAAGGCCAGGTCTTGTTAATAATCTCGTTTTTTATTTTTTTTATTTTATTTTTTCTTTCTTTCTTTCTTAACCTGAAAGTGAAAATTTGTTTCATTTGTTTCATTTTCAAAAAATGGAAATTATTCAAAAAATTACCAAAATTTTGAAAATGGAAAAAAGTTGTTTTTTAAAATAAGTTTTCATTTTTTCCTTCCTCCACTTACACTCACCACTACTAACAACCATCCAACAAGCTCTAGTCGTTTTTGGGAAGTTCTAAATATTGAACGGTTACCGCAAATGTCTCCAACTATGTTTTGACAGCCCTTTGACCATCCCATGACCTCCTATAGCACTCAAGCCACCAACTTTAGTCACCCCTGCAACCGACTACCACATCCAGCGACCATCAACTGTTGGCCACCCTCAACTATTGGTCATTACCAAATATACCTCTACTATTAGCGTTCCATTCGAGATGTCGTGAGCAAATTACATGTCAAATTTTTATTTATTTTAAAGATAGATTCTTAAGAAAATATTTATATTGATATAAATTTATAATTTAAAGTGACAAAATGTATTATTTTTTAATTAAAAAGTGACATTAAATGATGGTTCAATAGGGTAAATTATTTTATTTCATTATCGCTCGTCTCACATACTTGTGCTTACTAGTTAGTATTGCGTTTGTTAGTTGACATTCCTTAGCTTATAAGTTTATTTTAGGATCAGTTCTCGCTAAAGTTTCACCCATTTTTTATTTTGGCCCTTTAAATTTATTTTTTTTTTTATTTTGACCCTTCATGTTTGCAATCCTTTTTACTTTACTCCTAAACTAATTTTCATCCAAAAAACTAACAAAATCTGCCACATTACCAACATATCAACTCCATGTATGATGTAAAAAATTCACTAAAAATGAAAAAAATAAAAAAATAGAAAACAAAAAAATTAGAATTTTTTTTTATTCTTCAATGAATTTTTTTTTCAAATTTATTCATAAACATTATTACATTATAGATGCATCTAGATTAAATGCACCTAAAAAAATAAAATCAAATTTAACTAAAAAAATAAAAAAAGTTTACTAAAGATGAAAAAAACGATAGTAAACTTTTCATTTCAGAATTGACAATGCAAATGTTTGAGTCAGTATATTTTTATTTTTTTCGTCTTCAGTAAACTTTTTTTTTCTTTTTTTAGTTAATTTGCTTTTATTTTTTTTAGGTGCATCTAATTTAGATGCATCTATAATGTAATAATGTTTATAAATAAATTTGCAAAAAAGGTTCAGTCTAAAACAAATTTCAATTTTTTGTTTTCTATTTTTCATTTTTTGCATCTTTAGTGAATTTTTTACAACACACATGGAGTTTATGTGTTAGTGATGCCACAGATTCTGTTAGTTTTTTGGATGAAAGTTAGTCTAAGAGTAAAGTGGAAATGATTACAAACATTAAGGGTCAAAGTGGGAAGAATTGCAAATATAAAGAGCTAAAATAGAAAAAATCAAACTTAAAAGATCAAAGTGGAAAATGAGTGAAATTTTAGGGAGGTAAAATATAATTTACCCTTTATTTTATCAGTGTTTTCTTGTCTTTAAAGATTATTTTGATACCAATGTTAGTGTTGAAGAGAAATGTAACAAAATTATTAAATTGAACATGCATTAAGAAAATAAAAGGGTAAATTATACTAAACTTTTTTGATATTTGAAAAAAAATACATTGATTTCTATAAATTTATGATAATTACAAGTTTCTTTGTAATTTTAATTTACATAATACTTTATTTATTTATTTTTATCAAAAATTCGTTAGTTGTATAGATTAAGAAAATAATATTGCCATTTATTTTATAATGAAGCATAGTCTTTCTTTGTTTATAGTTGTATTGTATCTACACATCATCTGTATTAGTTTCAATAATTTTAACCTTTCTAAAAAAAGAATTCAGTATAATTATTTTAAATTTGTGAATCTTTTATTAATTTGTATGGTTTTTAGTTCTCAAAAATAGTTTTTGAATTTTTTATTTTTCATATTTTTTTTCTATTTTTTTTTTGGGTATTTTAGTCATTTTTTTAGATGCGTCTAATCTAAATGTACTTAACAAATAAAATATTTGCAATTTTTTAAAATAATATAATAAATACAAAAAAATTAAAATAAAAAAGTACTGATGTTTTATATATAAAAAAAAATCACAAAATTTGTACTTTTTGTTGTATATAAATTAAGTTGATTTAAAAGGTCAGAAAAATTAACATATTCAAAAAATCACCACAAAAAAAGAAAAAAAGAAGGGTAAATTACTCTGTGCACGTGCACTTTGGACCAAATTTCACTTTAGTCTCTATACATGAAATTATAACAATTAATCCCTTGTATTTCACTTTAGTCACTTGTATTTCTGGTCAAGTGTCAGTGTCCATTTTCTGTTATTCCATCGTTTAAGTCTTATTTAATCCAGTCATGTGACAAACATGTAGCTATGAATAAGAGTAAGAGAGAAAAACCATCCTTATTTTTTACTAACACACACTTTGTCCCACATAATAAGCATATGAGAGTTGCATAATACAATATATATATATATATATATATATGTGTGTGTGTGTGTGTGTTCATATGTTGAAAATATGAAGGAAGAGGCAACAAAAGTAGAGTTTTTGAAATAAACAAATGCAGCAAAGAAATCAAAAAGAAATGAAGAGAAATAGGTGGAAGATTATATTACTATAGAAAATAGAGATAAATGATTTTAATTTCTGCAAAATCCTAATTCATCTTTTTAATCGTTCACAATTTGCGTTTTGTTTTAAACAAATACAGTCATAATTTGATATAAATTTTGGGATGAATTGTGTATAAGCAAGAAATTAGCGTTATTTTTCTTCTTTGCTGTCTTTTCGTAGTCATATGCTTGCTAATAACTTCTATTGAAACTTTATGTGGTAGAGTAAAAAAAGAGAGACATTGGCACTTGATCAGAAGCATAAAAGTTAACTGTCACAATTTCATATACAAAAACAAAAGTGGGATTTCGTACAAAGTGTATAGGTGCAAAGTATAATTTACTCTAATAAAAAATATGATTGAATAATCAAAAATTATTTTTAAAAATTCCAAAAGCAAACAATATATTTTTTTTCTAAACTTCAAAGTGATCACTATAATTTACCCACGAATAAATTAATTTTTAAAGTTTCGTTCCCACCAAACACAACTTAAGAAATTGAAGGGAACAGTATGAACCCCCTTATCGACTCATAATTTGCTCTGAAGGTAAATTGATGAAGTGTTAGTTTGGGGTGTGGGCAAATTTTTTTTCTGAATAAATTCTGAGTTCGTAATTAGTAGGTGAGTTGTACAATGTATATGAATTTATTTTTAAGATAGAAAATTGATTTTTGACTTTTAATAATTTATGTTTAGAAAATTTTAACAATTGAAAGTCAAATACAAACATATTTGTTAATGACTGATAATTTTTTTTATCACTATATGTGTAATCCTATGTAAAATGCTTATAAAAATCATTTCTTTCAAAGTTTATACAAAAAAAAATAAAAATAAAAAAAAAAGATGATGTATTCTTTACCTGAAATCAAACCCTTATTTGCGTTAATCAAATTTATCAAAAGACATAAATTTCACTTGTATCAAAATATATATATATATATATATATTTTTTTGTATCAAAATATTTTTTTTATGAAAAAAATAAAAACAACAAAAAATTATATAATATACAAATTATGACTTGGTTATAACTCATAATGTATTATT